AAACCAGCAATAAGTAATATGGTTCCATATTAAATATAAAAAAAAGAAAACTAATAGAAGGACAAAAAAAAAATGAAATAATCATGATGTGATAGATACCTAGACATATATAGCCTGAGAGAGGAGATATTAATTACTTTAATACTAATTAAAAAGTGATTTTTTTTAAGATTGGCCATGATTTTGTCATTATCTATACAGTTGTCTTCGGTTTTCAAAATATTTAATAATGCTCCTTTAAGTTTTTTTTCTGAAAGTCTTCTTTAGTACGTTTTTAAGCTATTCAGTTTGGTATCTCGTTCTACATCTTTGCGCCAACACGAGAGAACGCATTCTTCTGTATATCAAGTCTAGATTTTTTATGTGGAAGTGTTTGTCAAGTTGATGAGCGTGTAAAATAGTGATGTGATTTTGTCCTAGAAAACAAGTTCAAACTATTTATCTGTGCATTTCTTTCGTCTATTTCGTGTAGTTTTCCACCAGCTCGCGCACGCGCCTGGGCTGACATAGCACCAACCTGGTTCCCGTGATCTTCTCGTTTTCCAGTAAGGCGGCGACAGGTGAGAAGACCCTGGAACACAGCAACCTAAAACGATCGCTGATCGGTGCATTTCATACATGGGCTCTGATTGGTTTACATCTTCAAAACAAAGATGGTGGCTATTGGAGGGTTCTTAAGGTATGGGTTCTTTGTGGGATCCCGAAAGTCACGTGACTCTGCTGTGTGCCAGGGTCTTCCCTCCTGCCGCCGCCATATTGGAAAACGAGAACACCCTGGGGACGAGGCTGACATAGTCCCTTCAATTGTTATTCAAACATTGAGTAAAAACTTCAAACATCTTCACGAAAATCAAGTTTCTTTCGGAACATGCAGCCTGTGACTCTAAAAGCGTTAGTTTTGTTGCTGATATGAACAGCAACAAAAAAATTGTCATCGTGCGAATACACATTTTTAGGGTGGGTATTTTGAAGTTTTTGAAAGTATATGATGTCACCCAGTCCAAATTTTGCCATAACTGAGGGATTCCGCTCGCGCTGATGATTGCTCGAGAGCTATGTTCGATAACACTACAGACATTGGAAATGGCGAGATGGTGGCGCAATTTGTTTTTCTCTTTTTCGCATACGCGATTTTCCGAGAAACTTCAACGGAAATGGACGTTAAATCTGTCAATGTTAAAAAAACAAATCGACAATAATCGACCATAAAATGACCTTATCGACCATAAAATGACGTCAAACACTTGCACTTGAGTTTTGAACTTTTTTGAGAACGTCATTTCTATGGTCGATAAGAGTACAGACCATGGAAATTGTTGTCGATTTGTTAAGTATACTGGCAAGCTACTCAGATCATACCTAAGGGAGGAGGTTTTCACGACTATTAATGCACTGTAACCTTTCTCAGGTGTTTGCTGGGAACACTGACAGAAACACAGTAATCATACACACCTTAAAGCCCCACATCGAAGCTCGCTTTATCCGGTTTCATCCATTGACTCACAATCATAATGCCCCTTGCCTGAGAACTGAACTGTATGGCTGTCGAAGTGGTAGGTATCTCGTGTCACTTCATATCTTAGTGTGTATCCATCTTTCTTTTATTTATTTATTTATTTATTTTACTTCATGTCTTCCTAAACACTGATTTAAATAATTAACCCTTTTTCAGCATAAACTACATTACTTGTTGTTAGTATCAAGTATCAATATCACGCGTACGAATGCTGCAAATCTCTTAACCGTGTTAACCTGAGAATCAGGCCCAACTTTAGCAGCTTCCATACATTCTCTCTTAAGTGGTCGCGCTAAACTAAGGCCTAATCCAACTGTCTCATGCCTTTGTGCTGTAGCCAGAATTTGGCCGCAACGTTGATTGGTCGTTAGAACGATGCCAAACGATCTGATTGCCTGTTGGAATCACCGGAAGTTGAAAGCACTAAAATGCTCGCGCTATTTCTAAATGATCCGTCATGAGCAGAGAGGAGAATTTTTCTTTATCTTTTGGAGGGGTTTGCGGTTTCAGGAAATGAAACCTAACTTAGTTTATTTATTTGTCATGGACATTCCAAACGACTGCTTTTTTGCATTTGCTCGAAAGTTATGAATTTATGTGAATGGATTGCGGATAGAGTTGAAGGGTTTCGAGTAGAAGTTGTCTGCAGAAAAAAGCGTACTTAAGGTGGCTCGATATTGCTCCTTCAGAGCCGTAGGACACGTAAGAGCTCGCGACTATCGAAGAACGGAAATATCTTGATTGGCTGTTCCGGTAAATGTCAATCAATCAAAAAAGTGGGCGGCAACGTCTCAAAGAAGATTTGTATCAGGTTTTCTTTTCATTTTGCCTTTCCCGCCAGAATTTCATTTATGAAGCGAAACGAAAATAGCGCCTGATCTCAGGTTAAACCGTCTTTTCTTCATTCCCGATCTAAATACTCTTTATGTGAATGGTTTTAAGTGGTTTTGAGCATTTTAGCTGTCGGAGGACGAACAACGCGAGCTGTCTGTATTTTGACATCGTTTTAATTTGATATTTTATTCAGTGAAGAACTGCTTAATGCCCGTGGGGGTGGAAGACGGTAGAATTCCAGAAGAGGCATACTCTGCTTCTTCCTCTGCAGGTGCCAACTACCTTCCAAACCGAGGCAGGCTTAATTTACTACCAAATGGCGGGAAATATTGTTGGGCTGCTAAACAGAATAATGCTAATCAATGGCTTCAGGTACGCTATCTGGAATACAAGCCATTTATAACATTATCTCTTACGATCTATTAACGCGTTACTAGCTAAATTAGTTTTTACTACTTTAAAGCGCTGAGAGAAGTTGCAATAAGAGCCCTTTGCATTTTAGAGAGTCTTCCTTCCATGAGCTGTTAGCAGATAACCTAGAGCTTGCTAAAAAGTGTACATTTCAAATTTCTTTGAAGAATAAAAATATTGCACATGATTGGCAAAAGCTAACCTTTTTCGTGAGTTTTCGAAAAAAGCATAATATTTTGTCCTTTTGAAATTAAAATATACCTCTAAATCCTATTTAACTTCAGACGTTTTCCAGCACTATTCTCGTGAAGATATACTTTGAAAGCTGAATTTTCATTGAATTACAATTGATTCCCATGGTTAAGATCCTTTAAAATTGGTATGTGAAACTAAATTGAACTAAGCTGTCAAAGAAACTGCATGTTCGGCTTAGAACAATGGACTCAGCTCTGTGTATCTTCTCATTTCAGGTTAACCTGGGTCGCCTGTTCAAAACAAGAGGCGTGGCCACTCAGGGTCGCCATGACAACAACCAATGGGTGACCAGATTCTCAGTGTCTTATACCGCAGACGACCTCAACTGGGTTTACATCCGAGAAGACAGTCAAATTAAGGTAATAAAAACAGAAAAAAAAAAGGTGACTGACTGCTGTTTTTGGCGCGAAATACTGGATGGCGGCGTTAGCTTGCTGAACGACAGGTGACTAAGTTATCGATTCTGTTATGCTGGTCATCCGCGCTTTTACCTATTGGCTGATTTCAAACCAAGGAGGGTTGGGTACGAGCCCCTGTATTAGGGAATAAACAACAGGTAACCCCAATAGTCAAAAAGCGCTCAACGAGCTTTGCAAAGGTCTCACGTTTGGTATATTGATCGAGGCACTATTGAACAAGATATAACCGTTTAGAAAACTTGAAAATTTACTAAGAGATGTATGGATTTCCCGAGTCACCCTACACACTATAGGGATGTCAGGTTCGATTGCCAGTCGCTGTTTGGGAAATGAGCCCGCACTCCTCACCTCCGCAAGAGAGCGGCGGAAATCGAGTCAGTATGGATGTCTACAAAATTCTTAGTGAATTTTGGAGTTTGTGAATGGCTGTATCTCGTTCAATAAAGGCCCGATGAACGCTTAACTTGAGGGTTTTGTAAATGTCGGTTTCCTCTTTTTGACTACGTGGGTCTCGAGTGGTTTATATCATTATGCATTTCTTTCAAAGTTTCTCCACGCGTCAGAATCAGTGCACGCAAGCGGCGAACAGCAAAGCCGAAAGCGCAGTAAGAACTGGACGGATTTTCTTTGCTTTTAATCTCGATTGCTGGGATACGAACGTAGCAGGTTTTAAGACAAAAGTCAGACTGCAAACAGTCTGTTAAGAACAACTGTAGCAGAACATTGCAAGCGTGTCAGAATAGAAAAAGGTTTTGTCCAGCACAAATGACTTCACTGACCTTTTTTGACCCTCTTATTAGCTTGCTAACTAAGGACGATTGACTCTTACATTTGTTCATTTATTCATTTCGTTTATTTGAATTTGATTGATTCTTCTGTAGGTGTTCTTTGGCAACAGTGATAGAACTACGGTGGTCAAACATTTTTTTCATCCTGGCACAGGAATCTTTGCTCGAAGTATTCGTTTCCACCCTAAAGCTTGGCATGGCCATATTTCAATGAGGGTGGAGATATATGGCTGTGAAGAAGGTGTGTAAATTTTTCATATTTTATCATTCTCTTTCCGTGAGGCTTTACCGGGGAATACCGTGCAGGGAGCTTTGCAAACTCAGGCTTGTGACTTTTAGTCACTGTCCAGCAGTATTATAAAAAATAAAATAGCCACGCCCTACCTATCACTGACGCCTTACGAAGAGGTTGTGAGTTCCTGAACATCTCCTAAAAGCAAGGCAGACCAAACAGATCGAAACGGATGTGGAATAAGGGCCAAGGACCAAATGCCACTTTGCTGCTCAGAGACTCAAATAATCGTTTTAACTGAAACAAGGTCTTCATCACATACCAGCATGCCTCTTTCCAGTTTTTTTTTTTCAGCTACCGGCCTGAAAGACTACAAGTAGTCTCTTATTTTCCTTTGAGTCACAATAGATCGAGAGCACGCGTGAGAAGAGAAGGCGGAAGCCCGAACCAATATAAATTGCCCCCTGCGCTCCAATCTCTCCTCCTTTTTACCATTAATTTGCATAATTCTCCTTGTTCGCTCGGCGCGCATGGCTCTGAGACAGTTCTGAGAGGAAAGAAGGACGACCGCTTGCTGTCCGCCGGCGTTCCAATTATGCTATGATAGATTTTTTCTTTAATGGTTCTCAATTAGATTTCTCTCTGTTCTTTAGGAATTAAACAACTATAATAGAGCGAAAATAAGACGAATGTACACATTAGTCTCTCTTAGTTACAACCAAGAGAGGATAAAGGGGACAGAGAAGGCATCCCGCATACACACCTTATTCCATAGGTAATTCGTCTCGAGTTATTTTTAGAATCGGGGAAAAGTTACCTCGCGCGCTGCGTGGATGTTTCGTGGAGGTTTCGCATGACTAAACGCGGTGCAAAACATGTCGGGCGAAAGGCAATGGAAGCGTAAAGAGATCGAGAGCATTTCTGAATATTGAAGTGAAATGAGTCGGCGCTCACCTGGGAAAAGGGAATCGCTGGGCTCTTTGACAACCCGTGAATTCAGTTTAACTCGAAGTTGTCGTAACCTCAGTGCTTTAATAAAATGAGAAATTTCGCCGGTCTAGTGAAACCGCTCGTTTGTATAATAAAGCGAATAGGACGCCAAGTGTATTTTTGTTGAATAATAAAAGACTAATAAAAGAATAAATATCAAACCAGAAATTGCTCTCTTCAAACTGTAAATTATAAATGATCCCGGGAGAATATTCATTGTGTTAAGGATTTCCCTGCTGTACTGTTAGCTCTATACAAGAGAGGAAGGGCGATTCCTTTTTAATTTTCGTTTCGCTGACACAGCTTTAGCAGAAATCTCTCTTTAGTCGTTTTCGTCGACAAAACAAATAGCAATATCGCTCTCCGCGTCTCCCGCCATTTTTTTCTGCGTCAATTTGGAAGGACGCGTGGCTCTGAGCTTGGGTCATCCACGCGGAACACATTCGCGCTATATGATTGGCTGTTGTCTAATCCCCCTTGGGATCTATGGTCTTAAAAATTAACTCGAGACGAATTACCTATGGAATAGGGTGTGTACGGGGGATGCCTTTTCTGTCCCCTTTATCCTCTCTTGTTACAACGCAACACAAAAACTTTATTACCTACATTACTGGTTGAAGAAGACGAAGGAGATTGAAGTTCATATTTAGAATTTGTCTCTGCGCACGCACACCTGGCCTTTGTCATGAAAAAGGTTAAATGAAAAAGGTCGAATATCAATCCGATACCCAAGGTTGACATACCCAAAGAAAACCCAAAGAAAAGTCTGACTACCGTGGCATAAATATAAATCCGCTTATAGCCAGGGCGTTTGAGAAAGCTGTTTATAACACCTTTGTGAAGTAGGCTGTGGAGGAAAATCTAAGCACCACTCAATTTGTTTATCGTGAAAGTGGAAATTGCACTAGTGCACTGTTAGCGATCCAGCTCTTTAACAACAAACACTGATATAATCCAGACTGTGAGGCTGTATGGGTATTCGCAATGGACTTCAGCAAAGCGTTCGACTCAGTCAGACACGAGCTACTATCCAATAAACTAAAGTTGTTGCCCCTGAATGCCTATATCATCAACTGGTATCACAGTTTTCTTTATAACGGACAACAATGTACAGTCCACAACAACCACCTTCACGAGTGGAACGAACTGGGCGAACTGTAGTTCCATGAGCTGCAACCCTCACAACTGTAATAAAGAACTTGTCATAAAGAAGAAAGGGAACTCCACATTCTATCCTGTTGTACGTGATATACCACAACATGCCACTCTTGATTTATTAGGTTTGACCTTTCAGAATGACTGTAAAGTTTTTGCAGTGTATTTTCGATTTGACACGTTCCGGTTATTTACAGATATGTGCACGACTCTCATACATCTTTTCTCGCGACGTCGGTCTGTCTTTAACCAATAGAGAAGATATCCAGGATATCATAACAAGTTGCTAACATAACCTATAGACTATCTGTTTATGGTGTCTCCGTTGCGGCAATTAATGTCCCTCAGCAATTTTTAGACAGATGCTATAAGTTGTGCTTTTATATCTACGCAGTTAAATATTACATTACATTACTACAAAAACGAGACAAAGTGACTTTTAAAAAACTTAAACACCACCCTCTGAAGGTTTGCTTACCGCAAGAAAAGAACAATTTAACCTACAACCTTAGACGTAAAAGTTGCCAAAGGCCCAAGATAAACACTGAACGTTATAAGAACATATTTCTAAATAGATTAATTTTTAAATACAACATGTTATGATATTTTATGTTAGATATATGTATCTAGTTTTTTCACATTAATTTTTTAATCTTCTTATTCTATTTTAATTTAGCTGAACCGTTTAATCTTTCTATCCTGTAACATTAGATGTGTATTTTTATCTAATGAGCAATAAAGACATTTTATTTTATTGTATTTATTTTTTTATAAATGCCGAGTGTTGCCGAGCATTACAGTTGTTTTCTGTCAACTATTTTTCATCCAACAGCACGCAGCTGTTTTCTTCCTCTGGGTATGGAGAGTGCACATCTGCCTGATAGCGCAATTTCAGCATCAACATCAGCCAGCGCCGATCACATTCCTCAGTTTGGCCGCCTAAATAAAATCCCAGCTAGTGGAAAAGCAGGAGCCTGGTGTGCAAAGAGTAACGATGGCAACCCGTGGCTACAGGTTTCCTTTGGACGACAAACTACAGTGACTAAAGTGGCGACCCAGGGAAGGTATGACGCTGACAAAAGGGTGACTAGCTACAGTTTATCCTACAGCGTGGATGGTGCTCATTGGGTCTTGTACAGGCTTTCTAATGGACACATTAAGGTATGACTAACATGCAGTGGCATTTCAGGCAATTCTTATTGTGTAAGAAACCACAGGATGTGTTTTATTTTGATATACTCATATATATCTAGCTGGATTTTTGAAAATGTCATCGCTAAAATATACCTCTAGTTGCGTCAAGCTCTCCAAAGTAGCCATTACAAGTCAAAAACTAATTGTGCAACATACGTAACTTTTTTCTCTTCTCTTCTCCTTTTCTCTTGCTCTTTCTATTTTTCCTTTCCTTTTTCTTCGCTAGTGTAATTTTCTGGCTTAGTCGGAAACAAAAAATTTGCCTTTAAGCCTTTAGTTTTCACTCATTAATAAATGGCTGCAAATTTTGGCAGGTGCGTTCTCAAAACATCCGGCCAGGAATTATTTTTATTATTTGGAGTGCAAGTCATTTCTATAGATCTATGGGGACTTAGCATAACCTTACTCGGAAACACAGAAGCTTCTTCAGCATGATACCATGTGACCACTTGGATCAAGTGATAGTTGTTATTGCAGACTGCGGGACTTTATTATACTTTTCATTAACATGTTCTTATATTTTTTTTATACTCTTAACACGGTGGCACTTTGACTTTTAAAAGCCTCGAGCAAGTGTCGTGAGCATGTATTTTGTAAATATTTTGGTCAGGTATTTGGAGGCAACGTTGACCGCAACACTCCAGTTCAACATTCTCTGCATTCGCCAATCCAAGCCCGCTATCTTCGATTTCATCCCAAAACTTGGCAAAATCACATTTGCATGAGGGCTGAAGTTTATGGCTGCCAGGAAGGTAATTTATATAGGAGGATTTCCTGGATAGGCTTATAAAAGGCAACGCGTATCCGCAACGATGTTACGAAAAGATATTTCAAAATATAAAAATAGTGAACATGATAGTAATACGACACATGCTTTTACACGTAGTGTTTGTTAACCATCCGTAATGCACTGAGATAGTGGCCAACTGGAAAATTAACTTTATGATGTATATAATGTAAAAAACAACATGACCTTTCATTAATAACGAAACTTAAAACATTCAAGCAAACTCTTAAGCATCGAGTACCATTGACAAATATATAAAAAATTGGGCAGAACCAGTCCAATCTTGATAATTATTTGGCTAATGACTTCCCTGTGTTCTCTTCCTTTTTTTTGTTAACTGAGAATAAACTTCTGTTTTATAAGGACACCGTTGTTCCGTGTCCCTTGGAATCGAAGATGGCCGAATTCAAGACAGCGCCATAACTGCGTCGACCATTCACAACAGTGCCCACGCAGCCCATCTCGGCCGTTTGAACCTGGTAGCCAGATCTGGTAAGGCTGGAGCCTGGTGTGCAAAGACAAGTAACAACAAAGAATGGTTGCAGATCGATCTCGGAAATCCCACCACCGTCACTAAAGTAGCCACGCAAGGAAGGCAAGATTCCAATCAATGGCCGACCAGCTACTCAATATCTTACAGCCTCACAGGTTCTTATTGGGTCCAGTACACAGAACGCGGTAAAATAAAGGTAATAACACTATACTCATTACACCGGCCTAAGAAAAGACTTAGTCACCTAAAGCATCTCTAAAGTTGAAAAATTGAAATAATGAATATTAAACTGTTGGCAACTGAAAACATCCTCGTTTTTCGGCTCGAATATAAATATTAAGAGACATTCCTCAGTCAGAGCATTGGTGATTTAAGTGTTGAATCAAAATGATGTCTTTATTGAAGATATCAAGCTAAGGCACCGGCACCAAGCCCACATTGTGTCGTGTGTACTTGAAAAAAAAAAACCCTGTTCACTGACATTGGTACCCAGCGCAGAGCACCCAATCTCGTAAACAGAATCCTCTGGCTTTTTGGTCAGCAGGGCTCTGGGTAAGAGATTGGCGAGTAACGTGGTTTCCGACAACCATCTCCGTTTTCTTCAAATGGTTTAAAACAAACTGGAGTTAAAAAAGATATTAGCAAAAAAATGGTTTGTTTCTCACTGTAACAAAAAAAGCAAGTGCTGGTTGTTATTAAATATTCTAACATCTTTATTTTCTATAATTCCTCTGTAATTATTTGATGTTTCGATTTTATAGGTCCTTCGGGGAAACTTTGATCGTGACTCCATTGTTGTCCATCATTTTTTCCCGCCATTTCATGCCCGCTTTGTTCGAATTCATCCTTTGAGCTGGTCAGGTTTTGTTTGTATGCGTGCTGAGCTGTATGGATGTCCTATTAGGGTAAGAGTCCAGCAGTTATAGACCTTTTAAGCCAGTGTAAATCTTTTTTTCCCAGTACAGCTGGTCGTGTGATATTACTCTCAGGACCCGTCCACTCGCATTGGGATATTTTTGACACCGCATACAGTATTTTTTTTTTTTTACTTTTTTCCCGTCCACACAATTAAAACTGCTAAGTGAGTGAATCCGCTCAACGGAACCACGTCTTTTTAAAACTGCTCTCCAGAGTGGTTTGAGGCCCCGTCCACACGAATTCGACTAAAAAAAAAACAACGTTTAACATTCAACAGGACACTGGACTTAGAGAACAGTTTCATGCATATTTCGTCTTATTCACGTGAAATTACACCCAATTTACGAAAGAAAAATAAACAAACCCCAATGATCTTTTTGGGAAAGCAAAATACACTAAAGTAATAAGTAGTGACTTATGCTTGGTAAGAAACAAAGAAGAGAGGAATGACGTTTTCTGTCAGTATATAATTTCAGGCTTTAGCGATGTCAATAACTTGAAGAAAAGTTATTTTGAGAATTTTTACAGCTAAAAATAAAAATGATGTTTTATTTTGACAAGCAAGACACCAAAGTATGATATGATTTTTTTACTGAAAATTTACTTGTATCGTTTATTTTAGGGAATTTAAACAGATGCAGTGTAGAGAAAAGCGCTGAGACGAAGCAGACACCGTGCTGACCGCTCAGTGACGTACTTGGAGTTTTAATGAAACCTTGTTTCACTTTACTTTGAGGTCGTAACATGCAGAATAAAAAGGAAAAAAGTATGGCCTGTGTACATGTCCTTTACTAGTAGTTTAAGGGAAAGTTCCAGCTACTTTTTGGAGAAAAATATGTTTTAATCCAACTGCTAATTTTAAGAATCTCAATTATGTTATGCTGGGGAATCGATTTGGGGACATCTAGCTTTTGCATCCAAATTGCTGACAATTAAGCGATGTATTTTCCCTTATTAGCCTCCACCCTCTGATAAGCCACCCACCCTCCCCACCCATACGTTTTATTTCGACAGTCAGCCTGATGCGCGAAATAAAAGAAGGTACCTAATAATCCCCAACCTCAAATCACGATGCAGGATTAACTGCGTACATGAAACAGTTTCACTCATTCCTAGAATTTTCCTTTTTTGGCGCACATCAGTTAGAAACCCTGCCGGCCGCGCACTCTGTAACCATTTTTCAGCTTTCGATCAGAACATTATGAATGAGGACAGTTACTGTTATATTTAAAATTAACGTTTGTATACAAGCCTAAACTTTTTAAGCCTCTACAGCTTAGAAAGGTCCATTAATCGAAGAAGCACAAATAATGGACGAAAAACTGGATTTGCACCAAATTTCCTCATGTTCAAATTTATGCAAACTGAGGGATAAATCTGTGAAAAGATGTAAATTCCACATTTGCATGCCTATTTACACTGGGGTGTAAATAGGTATGCAGAGAACAGGAGTAAAATGCTTGCTCACTTAGCCTTCATTTTAAAAAGGTTCAGGAGAAAATGGTCGATGAGAGCCGTTTAAATCTCTTTGCACATCCGGCCAGTAATTAAATATTAGCAATAGTTTTTAAATGTCGAGGGAGGCGCTGAAATAGGGTACTTCTTCTCCCACTTCATGAGAAACACGACACCATTATAGAACGCAATTTTTCTTTATCGTTTTCTACACCGTTCACTGTTTCCCAAGTTACATAATCAGTTTTTCATGTCTTAGACGTCTACATTTTTGTTTGAGCAATCCAGGGCTCTTGCTGCGGCACAAATACTCCTGGCTGTCCTGGTCATTTTAACCAAATGGTCGGGCTGAAACAACAAAAAGTATCTTGGTTACTTAGGAGAAACTAACTTACGACAATTCAAAGGATTAACTCAACCAATGGGATGTTCGATTTCCATATAAGTCAATATATACACTATTGTGTCGTTGTCATTGACGGTGTACAGGCTGTTATGTTATTGTTAGAGCGCCAGGGCCTGTTCTTTGTGACGTAACCCAGGACCACATATTGCAACTTGGTACATGGTACACAACGCTAAAAAAGACGCGTTTGTAGTACCTTATCAGGACAGCGCATGCTCTTGGGGAGAAAATAACAATACAACAACAGTAAAGAAGGAGGAGTAGCCTAAACACTCCCTTTACTTCTAAACTTGGCCTAAAAATAAAAACGTTTAACATGCTGATCCAAATCTGAGAAAACAACCGACTTCAAATTAATCCCCGCGACACAACGTTTAGGGAACGCGTGTAGAAATTCCATGCTTATGACATGTTACCACAGCCTCTGATTGGACAAAGTCAAATAAAACGAAATACCCTGTGGTACGCATTCACCACTTAAGACATGAGAAAGGAATTGGAGCCGAGGTGTGCGGCCTGCAGTTGTTTCTGGGATGGTTGCTAGGAACTTACCCGTCAGCTAGTAACGGTCCCAGAAGTCTTTTCGAAAGTTAACTCAGCCCCATTCCCTTCTCGCTTCTTAAGTGGTTAATGGATCACCTGCGAAAAGCTCGATATCGATCTTTTTCTCGCAGGACTGCAGTAACAAAGAAAAGCCTGACTCTGCAACACTTTCCCCTTTCGAATTAAATGATGGGTTTATTTGCAGCATAAGGTTGTGTACGTTGGACTTAATTTAGGGGAAATTTGTCACCTTTCCCTTTCCCATCAGCCAGTCACTCAGACACAGTTGTCCAGTTGCCAGTCTCTCGTAGTTAGGTTTGCTTGATTCAGTCAATAAGTCGTTTGTACCGTGCCGGTAACTGTTGAGTACGATTCAGTGGCGTTTGTTCTAAGTTAGTAAAGCAGCTTTCTGAATTGAGTCGTTGACGGAGTAGTCTGTAGAACACGCAGAATCCCCGTCGATTCGTTGTTTGTTGTGCCTTGCATTGGTGATGGTCTCCCAGCTTTAGGAGCAGGGGCATCTAACGACAATTTTTGGAAAATATCTTTTCGGAAGACGATTTAAGATCGAATTTCGGAACATTTGTTGTAAAAGTTCTTGCTTGCCTGCCTCTCCAAGGATTTTCGAACATCTACAAAATGGTAGAACTGCCCATTTTTAACGGATTTTTACTCTAAAAACGTCACCTAGAATTTTCGGGAGCCTTTTTTCCGGCTGAAATTTTCGAAAAGGTAAGTTTTGATCTTAGCTGGACTTTCAGCTAGGAAATCCGGACAGATGAAAAATTTTAGGGGACAGAAATATGCCTATATCTACCATTTAAATACTAAAATACGTTCAACAATGCTACGAACTATATTCTCGTTGGGTGCCCCTGTTAGGAGGCGCAAGGAAATTCGTGGGAAAAGTCCACATAAAAATGCGATAGGTTTTGATTTCGTCAACGTATAGAGACGAGAAAGTAAATTAAAAATACATTTGTCCAGCAGTTTAAATGTTTACATTACAATCGCCTTGCTACAATCGTGACACTTTGTTATAATACAGGCTATTTCTTTCCTAGTCGCAATCGTCCTCAACAATTTGATCAACTTATGTCAATGTTCTTCCGCTCTCGGATATTGTTATTTTCTCGCCAATAACTCAGTATAAGGGTCATTGTTAGAATGATACGCTTATACTGAAATTCTACGAAAGTATATCCGAGAAATTTACCGTGACTATTCATTTCAGTTCAAAACTGTCTAATTAATTTTGACTTTGACTAAAGGGCTCATTCTCGGTGTAAAAACCTGTGAAGCTCACAAAAAAGTGACGTAAAACAGTTAAAACAAAGAAGCCAATGAGAAGTCGACACAATAGAGCCAAGGAAAATAATAACTAGAAAGCAAAGATAAACTTCACATCTTTTTACACAGCGGATGACGCTACTGAAGACTATCAATAACAAAACTGAATTATAGCAATAAGCCATGAATAATTTTAAAATATAATGAGCGAAATCTGTCACGTTCTCTGTGCATTGTAATCTGCATTTGCGTTTGTCTGGCTAATCTACAATTTTCCATGTTTCCTGCACACGAATTCAACAAATAATATTAAATTTCCGGTTAACTATTTGGCTTTGGGTTAAAAGTATTGATATCTACGTTGTCTGACGTGAGATTGGACATCAGACAAACAAGGTATGGAAATTTTTTAAGTCCTGCGATGGCATCGGCGTGCAATTAGAAAATATCACGATAATTTATCTACTCGCAAAAACTATTATTGTTTTCTTTTTTAAAAAAGTGCCAGCAGGCAAAAGCGAGGGAGAGACGTATGCTGGAATCCCCTAAATATCAGAACCGCCTCAGGAATTAATGAACGGATAATTGAGAAAATCTATTTTTTTAATGAATAATGATTTAAAATATTACAGGGTATTCTTTGACGAGCGCGTTTATGTAAAGGACCTTACGCTACTCAAAGGTCTCCTTCTTCCTCATGATCAGGTTTTTAACTTGATTTTCTCCTCCGCACAGAGGAAATATTTTTCGTTGGTTAGATTGAAAGGTATTATATTTTTTCTGAAAATGGAATATTATGAATTTTGGCAAAACTGATTATCCAAATACGTGGTATCGGCCAAAAAAATAAATATCGTGGTATCGGTGAAGTTTAAGCACCAGATAAATGAGGGGAACAGCAGAATACAACTGTGAAAAGGCTCTGAATGGGGTTTTATTCGATTCATAGCCAGAAACTGGCCAAACTGAGATTTAGTAACAGTCAGCTTGGCATTTATTTTTTTATTTTAATCATTGTTATTTTTTCTGAAGGCTGATTAGAGATCGTCAGAAAACTAAATGTTAGATAAGAGTGATTCGAGCACCCATTAAGGAAATTCATTCAGACGAAAGAAGTAGAAATTTTTGGGAACACTCAAGCAAAAGCTGAGCGGATTTGTTTAAATCAGCAATGAGTACTTTTGTAGAGATCCTCTGTTTCCAATTTTTACCGAATTTAATGAAACAGACAAACACTACTGACTAATTAAATCAAGAAATAAGTCAGCCCTTCGCTTTTGACTATAGGGAGGATCAGTTACTCACTAAAATAAC